GGAGGGCAGTCTATGCTCAACCTTTGGGTTGGTCTCACAAGACCAACAGATTCACAACTTCCACCTTTGTAATTTTTGTTTTTCTGAGAGCACACTTATGGATGCCAGAAAAAACAACAAACTATTTTTAACCTCATTTATATATTTTTAAAACATCCATATTAAGGTGTAATTTATGAACCACAAAAGTCATCTATTGTAAGAGTACAATATAATTATTTATAATAAATTTAGAGTTGTGCAACCATCACCACAACCCAATTTTAGAACACTTCCATCACCCCAAAAAGTTCCCTTGTGACCATGAGCTGTTCATCATTGCTACCACCCACCTGTGCCATACCTCATAGAGCCACTAATTTCTCTCCTCTCTACACTGTTTGCTTTTTTTTGGACACTCCCATAGATTCAATTCTACAATATGTAGAGCCTAGGTCAGGAGTCTCCCCTTGGCATGACAAGCCTGACATTCATCCATGCTGTAACATGTATTAAAAATTTGAGCTTTTCATTTCTGAATACTCATCCACTATACAAATTTAGCATATCTTGTTCACCCAAGTATATGTGGACTGTTAACATGTTTTAGATATTACAAATCATGCTGCTTTGGACATTCAAATACCTGCTTTTGTGCAGACATATGTTTTCATTTCTCCTGGGTATATTCCTTGTGCAGATTGCTGAATCATGTGTTAAGTTCATGTCTAATTTTGTAAGGAATTATCAAATTATTTATGCCATTTTACATTCCCACCATATATCAGAGATTTTTACTCTACATCCTCACCAACATTTGCTATTATCTATCCTTTGTGTGTGTGTGTGTGTGTGTGTGGGGGGGGGGGGTGGTAATCAATCTGTTGCCTCCCATATGTGCCCCAATGGGAACAGATCCTGCATCCCAGATATGTGCCCTGACTAGGAATAGAACCTACAACTTTCTGGTGCATGGGACCATACTCCAACCAAATGGGCCATCCAGTTAAGGCTTATCTGTCTTTTTTTATTATAGCCATCCTTGAGACTTATTTTATGGTCTTGCACATGGTTTACCCTGGAGAATGTTCCATGTGCTTGTGAGAAGAGGTATTCTCCAGTCACTAAATGGAGTGTTCTATAGATGCCCTTTAGCCAAATGGGACAACAGTGCTCAAGTCTTTTAGAGTATGGTGATTTTGTTTAGTTATTCTACCAATTGAGAGTGGAGTGTTGAAATCTTTATAATTGATTAACTGTCTATTTTTTTTTTACTAACAATACTATCAACTTATGCCTCAGGTATTTTGGGGGTTCTGTTGTTATGTGCATATACATTTATGACTATTACTAGAGGCCCAGTCAGTGCATGAAATTTGTGCAGGGGTGTGTGTGTGTGTGCTGTCCCTCAGTCCAGCCTGCACCCTGCACCCTCTCCAATCTGGGACCCCTCGAAGGATGTCCTACTGCTGGTTTACAGGGATCAGGCCTAAACCAGCAGTCGGACATCCCTCTAGCAATCCGGGACTACTGGCTCCTAACTGCTCACCTGCCTGATTACCCTAACCACTCTACCTACTGGCCTACTTGCCCCCAATTTCCCCCCACCGCCAAACTGCTCGTCCCCAAATGCCCTCCCCTCACCAGCCTGACCACCCCCAAATGCCTCCATGCCAGTGTGCTCATCCCCAATTGCCTTCCCTACCGGCTTGCTCACCTCGAACTGTCCCTCGTGGGACTGAGGACTGTTTTCAGGCTGGCCTAACCCCCTTCAGGGGGGGGTCCCCACTGGGATGCCTGGCCAGTCTGAATGAGGGGCTGCTGGCTGTTTGCAGGCTGGCCAAGTCCCCCAACGGGGATCCTCACCCCATGGGAGTGTGGCCAGTCTGGGTGAGGAGCTGAGAGCTGTTTTCAGGCTGGTCATGCTGCACACACCACCCCCCTCACCCCGACAATCCAGGCTCTCAGCCCCTCCATTTTTTCTTTTCAGTGCCTCCTTGAGTTGAGGCCAGGGCCAGCTTGAAGCAGGTATCTGGGATTTATTTATCTTCTATAATTGAAACTTTGTAGCCTTGAGCGGAAGCCAGGGCTGGCTGGAAGCTTGGCTTCCTCCATTGCTGGGGGCAACCCAAGCCTCCTCCTTCTGGCTCCAGCTCCGTGGCCACCACCATCTTGGTTGGACTTATTTGCATACTCACTCCTCATTGGCTGATGGGCATGGTTGGTGAATGTAGTGGCGTGCTGGTCATTTTGCATGTTTCTCTTTTATTAGTATAAATTATATCTTCCTGGTGTATTGTTATAAAATGTCCCTCTTAAAGTTTATTTATCTAATAAAATATGGTCACTCTAGCTTTCTTATGTTTACTAATGGTATATATTTCCCCATCTATTATCTAAGGATCTAAGTGTTTCTTATAGACAACATATAATTAAACTTTTTGTTCTACTTTGACAATTTGTGCCTTTTGATTCAGGTATTTAGACCATTCTCATTTAATGCAATTATTATTTGGATTTACATTTGTTAGTTTGCACTTCCTCGGATTCTGGATCCTAGAACCAATACCCACTGGATACCAAGAAGGTACAACTAAGTGTTGAGGGAGTCAAAAGTTATACATGAATTTTTGGGTTGTACAAGGGACTGATGTCCCTAGCCCCCCCACTGTTTAGGGGTCAAGTGTGTGTGGGTGTATGTGTGTATGTTCCCCAGGGGATGTCCAAAGCCAGGTACATTCAACTTCAATGAGGATCCAAAGACTGCCTGCATCTAACACAAAAACTGTGGCCACTCACTCCAGAATGAATTACAGTTTTAGAATGGCTCTGGGCTGAACTTGATCTTATGATTCTGTCAAAACCCCCAACTGTATTTCTCTAAGAATTAGATAAAACATTCTGTGTGAGAACTCAGGGAGATACTGCTCTACGTGACGTCTTGTTTTCAATGAAGCTTAATACTGAGGGCAGTTGTTGATTACACTTTTTCCCTTACCATATGCCATATACCAGGGCTGATTCTGGGTACATATTTGTCACCCATTAACCTGCAAGGCAGAGATTATTGACCATTTTACAAATAAAGAAGCACAGGGGAAGATTACCTCTCAAGATCAGTCAGGGAGTGTGACTTGACCCCCACTCTTCTTGCTGGCCTCTAAAGCCAGGCTCTTTCCACACACACACACAGGTTCACCATGCCCTGGGTGTCTCTAGTCCTGAAGGAGAACCCTGCCCTGTGTGCCTGGGTTAATCTCTGTCCCCTACTCCTTTGCATCCTTGGTGTGTTATGAAGACACCATACCCATCAACTTCAGAAAACATCATTCCCTCTAAGTTCCCTTGGGTTCAAAGCCAATGGGCAGTGGGAAAAATCTGGGACCAAGAGGCCCAAAGACCAACTGCAGCCCAGGCTTTGGAACAGAAAGACCTGAGTTTGAGTTCCAGTTCATTCAAACTTAACCTCTCCCTCACAATTCACAGGCCTGCCCTGTAGGGGAACATAGTGATTACAGGAAAAAATGTACACCAGGCGCTCAGGAATGCAAGAGACCCAACAGATCTCCACAAACAACAAGCTTCTCCTTATCCGCACAATCTGAGACATTGCTGAGAACCAAGTCAGAGACAGGAAAAGGAATTACAATTTTATTTCTGGAACTTGAAGAGAGGCCTGGGCTTTAGAATAGAAGCTGCAGAAAGCAGAACCAGATAGAAAAGGCCTTTTTGGGTAGCAGAAACATAAAGTACACACTATACCTCCAGCTTATGATACTTTCCCAATAGGAGGATATTGGATTTTCCTACTTATCTATCTCAAGGAGATAAGAATTTTCAATGAGAAGTGCCAGGCCAGATGATCTCCTTAGGATGCGAATAGTCTGGGTTCCAAAATGGATTTTTAAATTTTATTTTTAAAAATATATTTTATTGATTATTTACTGAGAAGAAGGGAGTGGGATTGAGAGTTAGAAACATTGATGAGACAGAAACATCAACCAGCTGCCTCTTGCCCTTGACCAGAATCGAATTTGGGACCGGACCCTTCAGTCTGCAGGCTGACCCTCTATCCACTGAGCCAAACTGATTAGGGCCCAAATGGATTTAACACCAAGACCACCGGCTGAGGCCCCTCTGGAGGATAAGTTGACAATCACTAGAAGGCAAAGAGCCCCAAGCTTCCCCAGCTCCCTACTTCCCTACCCTCCACTGCTACTTGAGCAGAGATGTGAAAGGGATAGACCACAGAGGGACCGCAGGGCTGGCTGGGACGCCATGGCCACATCCACACGTCCAAGGTGAAACATCGTGAGACATCTGGGTGTGAACATCCTGGAGAGAACTACTCTCATTAGAGCTTTCTGGGGAGGAGGTGACAGCAGGAGCAGAGCTAGGCCTCAATTTCTCTTTACAGGAAGAAAAGGTTTCTGAGGGGACGTAGGGTGGTACATTGAGTCGTATTTCTTCGAAGCTTTTTTCCTTAAGAGCCTTACAAAAGTGGAAGATCAGGAAAGTTACTCTTAAAGTAATCAATACCGACTAAGGAGAAACCAAGAGAGCACACCCCAGAAGACCTCTCCTCGGAGTGGTCCCTCCTCCAAGAGAAGCAGTGGCATGTATGAGAGGTACCCTGGGCTGGGCTCCTGATTCTGCCAGCAACCAAATAATCTAGGCAGAGCATAGCATCCCCAGCTTCCTAAGCCTCGGATCTGAAAAGCAGGAAGGCATGACCAAATGAAAACTTAAGATTTCCAACAAACCAAAAGTACCAAGTTAAACAAATAGCAGGAGAACAGACAGGGGATACTCCTCCTCCTCCTATGAGACCCATACCCCATGCTACTGATGTCCAGGTCTCTCCACCTGAAGGCACATCGACGCCAGGGCTGGGTTCCACGGCATCTACATGATAACCCTCCAAAACCTGCTTTCTGCAGGCTGAGGGACTGGTAGAGTCTTGAGCCCACATTCTCACATCTGGGCCTGATCCGATTCCCATCCCCTCCCCTCCTACTCACCTCTGCGAGGTACGCATGTCCACAGGCCCATCACTTGTCTGCTCTTCGCCTCTGCCCATGGCTGTCGACTCAGCCCCGCTCAGCAATCCTGGGGCTGGGCCTCCTGGCTCGGGTGTCACCCTCATGTCTCCATCAGTGTTTAAATCTGAAGCCAACAATCCTCTCTCCATTTTTATTTTCTTGTTCTCCACATCCTCCTCCGCTGGATCCTGTTCAAGCGCTCGTTTCTGACTCCGTGTCCGGCATGCTTCTTCGGTCATTCTGAACTTTGGGGAAGGAGAAAATAAGACATTTAAACTTGGCACAATGAAGTTGCTACCTTCTTGGTAACTTTTCAGTGTCAGCTTGTAATATTTTCTGGCCATGTGACAGTGACACAAGTAGGTACACAAACGCAGGGCCCACAAAGTGGTCCCGGGACATTTCTTCACTGCCCTGGGGAGGCTGGGACAGGAGTGGTGGGGCATCTAGGGAGCTGCGCCCTCAGGGACCTAGACAGAAACAATAGGAGGAGGCTGTTTATCATAAAGAAGGAGAATTTTTGGTGCTTCAAACTCAAAGCAAATAAAAGAAAACTGAACTTTCCAGGTGTCTGGAATCCAGGAAAGGGACTATGCTGTGCCAAGAGCAAGGTACTACCAGGTCCAGGCCTGAAATGCAAAAAATCAGGCTGACCCTTGACACTTCTCTCCTTCAGTGAGAGTGGCCCTTACCTCAGGGGGATAAAGAATGGGGATTACTTTCGCCGGGACCAGTTTGGCTCAATGGATAGAGCGTCGGCTTGGGGACTGAAGGGTCCTAGGTTCGATTCCGGTCAAGGGCATGTACCTTGGTTGCGGGCATATCCCCAGAAGGGGGTGTGCAAGAGGCAGCTGATCGATGACTCTAATCGATATTTCTAACTCTCTATCTCTCTCCCTTCCTCTCTGTATAAAATCAATAAAATATATTTTTTTAAAAAAATGGGGATAACTTTTAATCCTATGTCTGCTGATGAAGTAAACTTTAGAGTGAATTCTGGCCCGTCACCATGCCAGCGCCCTGTACCTGAAACACACAGATATCTTCATATAAAGAAGACTAAAACAGCTGAGTCAGTTTCTGATCCCATGACATCACTGGGCTCCACATGACCCTTCCCAGGATTCAGTCTGAGAGACAAAGCACTTTCTAGAAAACTAGTCTGAACCGGTTCCAGACAACAAGCTGAAGTGCTGTTAACCCTCACATAGACAGGAGGGAGGACAAGCAGGGATATCTGCAGGGAGGCTGCAGGCATTCCATAGCTAAGACCGGGACACGGACACCCGCTATTAAAGGGGCCACTCTGAGCCCAATTTCGATGTTCCAAACAGGGAAGGACACTAGAAACAAGTCAGTGAAAGTTCACCAGGGATCAGAAAGGAATTCAGCTGCTAGGCTAAAGCAGAATCCCCAAAGTGCCTGTTCTTTTCAGGACAGTCAGGAGCCATGTCCACCAATACCTGGCCAGGAGGAGGAGTACACCTGTGAACTCCTCAGAGCCCCAATTCATATCTGTGGTATGCCTACATGCAAGACCTCCCAGCACCTCAGTTTCCTCATCAGGAGGCCTGTTCTGGACAGGGCTGGGTAGACCCAGTCCCGAAACCCACCTTCTGGGAGACTGGGGACAGCACAAAGCAATAAAAGGGCCAAATCATTATATATGGGACACGTTCCAGAGCTGACTTAGTTACGGCATCCTTAAAGGAGGCCTGCCCCAACGGGTTCTACTGTGGACTTAGACTGAAAGGAAGGAAAGGACAGCTGCTTCTTGCTCCTCCCTCTGCATATGTATTAGACCACTATGGCACCACATCTGCTTTTACAGTCAGTCCAAAGGGTTGAACAGAGCAGGTCTCCCCATGGTCATGTCACCCCCAGGGTGCTCCCCACTCCATCTAGATGAAGGGCTACTGGTTATGGCTCGGCCTCCATCTGCCCCCAACCCCTTCTTGTCTCCCCAGCGGGCTCCTTCAGTCAATCCTGTAGCAACTGCTCAGCTTCAGCCACCCCTATACAACCCCCATCCCTCTGCTCTTACCCAGATCTCTCCATTCCCTCATCCACCTCCCTGTAATCTCTTCACTATTCCACAGGGAAGTGAGGAATGTTCCCATTTGCCTCTTAAAGTGCTAGGTTTCTTTTTCCAACACACCCTGACCACAAACCTCATCAGCCCGCTCACAGTCTGTCCATCCTGTCTCTCCAAAAGTCACTGTCCTGAGTATCTGTCAGTGTGGGAAGAAGGGTGAATCATTTTTCTTTTGGGCACAACCTGAATCAGAAGTTCCTCAAACATCTGAAAATTGGAACAAGAGGAACAATTCTGAGGCTACCTTGGCTGGCAGGTATGTGTGCCTCCAGGACTGGGGAGAAGCCTGTCTGGATAGAAGATGAGGGGATACCAGGATTTTAGGCAAGGAGGGACCCCACTGGAGTCCAAGGAAATTCTGCCCATGAGGGAGAAGTTCCCATTATGGCCTGGAACCTACTGGGATGAGGGGTATCCCAGGTAGATAAGGAGAACATATTCCTACTGAATAACGCTGTGTCCCCTAATCCTGCACTCAGAGCACCCATGCTTCCCCATTCCACCTCTGCTCCAGCCCAGAGGGGCTCCCCACAGCATAAGTCCTGAGATCTTATCTATGAAGCTCATAGGAAGCCCAAAACCTGTGTGAAATTGTTTCTCCAATATGCCCACAGATAAGGGGATAGGCAATAAGATTGCTGTGTGCCAGGTGACCAGACTGGTGTGGTGGTGCCAAGTGGCCTCACTTCATCATCACTGGGGTAAAACAAATAGATCATGAGGTGCCAGAGCACAGCCTCACACCCACAGGGCCACTCCCTAAAGTCCTAGTAGGGCCCAGGAATCCATAGGCTTATGCTGTGTCAGGGCAACTCATTCTGCAGTCCAGGGGCTGAAATGCTGCTAGCCCAGGCCCAGAATCAAGGGCCTGGACTGTGCCTCTGACACAGTCTGCAGGGACATGCCGAAACCTTCCCCCACCACAGGAAGGACAACCACAGCTGGAGGGAGCAGGGCCTGCAAGTGGGGGATGATTCCTCCTACACAGCCAGGAAGTTGCCTTAGGGTCAATGGGGCTTGCTATGGCCAATTCCTGGCCCCTGGCTGCACTCCTGGGCAGGGCAGGGCAGGTGCTGGTAAGTAGCTGCTGCTCCTCTCAAGGGGAAAGGACAGTACCCCAGCATGTCAGGGCTGGCAGCCACACCCTTGCAGGCACAGACCCAGGGATGGTGACAAAGTTTCAGGAAGAAACCCTCCTGTGGAATGAAGCATGACTGCAGATTTCTGCAAAAAAGCAGTGAGGAGGTACTTTCTAAAGAGGAGGTGAAGAGGCTGGATTGTCCCAGCTGGCAAATTCTAATCAGCTTTAGAATTCCTGGAGAGCGAGGAAAGGAAAATAAAGGGGCAGCAAGGACCACAGAAGTTTCACCACAGGCCCATTCATTCAGGAAATGTGGGGTCCACAAAGAACACCCCCTTCTTGGTGGGATTCTGTGCTGGCTGCTGCCTGAAGCATAGGCTGCTTGCTACATAGGGAACAGCTAGAAGCTAGGTGGCTCAACCTCTTCTCCTCACACTCCAGACACAACCTTACTCCGATGAGTCCTGTTCTGGGCCAGCAGTTTTTCCTGGGCAGGTTTCAACCACACTAGAGGCTACAAAGGCACAGCACAGACTGAACCCAGGATGATGGGGCCACTAAGTACAGGGCAGAATGCTTGACATAGGGATTTGGGTTAGATGCAAATTTCAACTGCCTCTACCAAAAGCTTCTTTATTTTAGTAAAATCCCACCATCCAATTGGTCTGAGAACCTCAGGAGGAAAACCTGTTTTAAAACACCAAAGGGTGAATTATGGTATGGCAGAAACCAGAATTTTAAAACAGGAGACCAACAGAAAGTAAGTGGAATAGGTCGAGTACACAGGCCAGTAAAAAAAAGAAAGAAAGAAAGAAAGAAAGAAAAAAAGAAAGAAAGAAAGAAAGAAAGAAAGAAAGAAAGAAAGAAAGAAAGAAAGAAAGAAAGAAAGAAGGAAGGAAGGAAACAGACATTAAGCCATAACTCTGAGGCATTATCATTAATACTATCTGGACTATTTCTATTACTCTGTTACTAACATACCAGCAAGATTACTAGAGTAATACTCCTGTTTCACACACCAGGAAAGCAAAGCTTAATATGTGCTTGGGAGATGTGACAGAGCTAATGAGCTAAAAAGCAGACTTGGGGTGTTTTTCCAGAGCCCAGAGAAGGAAGTTTGCATCAGAAGCTGGGGGAAAGAAGGTGCTGAGTGTAGACTGATCTTAGGGGAAGCACAGGGAGATATAATTTGTTCTAAAAGATCATCTGGCTGATTTGGTGATAGTCTGGGGGCTTCTGTATCTTGTGGCCCAGGACAGGAAGGGGGCAGAGTGGTAGGGAGATGATCAAATGCTGGACTGGACTTTAGAGCAGTGATTGCCAATCAGTGGTCCGTGAGGTTCACAAATTTGGCAACACCTGCTTTAGAGGATAAGAATATCACAACATGCCAATAGCTGCCCAGGAGGCAAGAGAAGGTTGCTCTGTTTTGTTGTTTTTTTCCTGAGAAACTGGACAGAAGAAATTGGTTTTCTGAGATAGGGAAGGAGCAGTTCTGGGAAAAGAAGGTTAGAAGGTTAGAAGGAGATACTTTGGACATGCTGAGCATGAGCTGTCTACCAGACCCACACAAGCTGAGGAGCATCTGCTGACAGGTGAAGGCCTGCACATGGGGCAGCTACTGTCCTCAGGTAGTGTAGGGCACCCTTCCGGTCAGGAAGGGCCTGTGAAATAATGGATGGAACGATGGGATCCAGAAGCTAACTTTATCAGCCACTGGCCAAACTCTAGAGTCTCAACAACACAGCACAGGTGGGTTTCTGCACCTAGCAGTCTTGGGATTGGGGCTGTGCCACCTCTCTTTGCTTGGCCTCCCTTGTCTCCTGCTTAGACGCAGGACCCCCATCCACCCTCCCCAAGTCAGCAGCCTGAGGAAGCTTCCAAAGCTGAATCTTGGTCTGCACATCTTCCATTGGCTCCCCATGTTCTTGAGAGTCAAACACAGGCACCAGGGAGGAGTCAGGGGAGAATAGCTAAGCTGCACTTTGGTCTTCTCTTCCAGAACAGGCCCTAATCTGCTCCAGGTGTGAACCACTTCCTGACACCTACCTCTGAGTAACATAGCATAG